ACATGACCTCTCGTGTTCCCTAGATTCAGGGTCCATGGGATGGGGCCAAGTGTCGTATCTGCGGCCAAGTTTAGAAGCGTTACATTGACTAATATTCTAGCAGGTAGAAGCGTCGAGATGCTGCAAGTGCCCGGCTCGTAATGCTCGTGTTCCTGGCATCGCATGGAGTAGGAAGCCTCTAGGAGTTGAGCAGCAGGGCATGCTCTAAAAATAGATCTAAAAATAGCATCCAAGAGAGCACAAGCTCTGAAGCTTAACTCAACAAGGCCATCGTTGCCGTTCTTCTCGTGTTGCAGGTTAGTCTGCAGATCACCACAGCGAATCATGGCGGAATACGAGATCAGACCATCAAAATACCCCAGGGGTACACTCAACTAGTATGTATCAGGCTGGCCTAAAAACATAGTTCTATCCGTATTCATTTGAAGTCTTGAACCCCTGTTGTGTGGAGATTATCAGGTTGCGTTGATTCCTTTTTGAGAGTCATTCAGCGAGACTATTTGTGCGGGATTCAACACGATGCCTGCAGATAAACTCGGGTCAAGCAACAAGCGAAGCATTCCTGATTTCTTGACTGAGAGTGAAGCTCTTGGTCCCTATCGAACTGGTTCTTGACTCCTTCCTGGATGCGATGCAACCTTGAAATAGAAAGCCTTCGCTCGTATTTTGATTAAGTGGCTCACTGGTAGCATGCTATCTCGGTTTTACTGCATCACCTGTTCCTGCTCGGTAGTATTGGTTGAGTAAATCTCCGAGAGATGATCTGTCAGTCTCCAGATTCGATGTATTGCAAGCTAGATCTTCCTTTTGATGGCATTGGAAAAGTATGCTTCGCCAAAGCAGGGCCCAGTGGTATCCATGTTATTCTTGTCTTCATGACAAACAGCAGAAGTCGGATTTCCAGGTGTGAAGCTGGCCTATAGACTAACCTGTCACACATACTCAAGACTGACTGCTCCGATGCTCGTCGTGCTGTAATGGAAAGTAGAAGTTCTCCGGGCCTGGCTATGTCTTCCCCCATTTGTCGGCTACGCATGTCTGAGTATGAGGAGTTACATAAGGGTAGTACTTGATAGTATGTTCAATGGCGATGATACCCTGCAAGACGTTCACGATCGATTGGAACACTACAGCTGGTCTTGAGGAAGGCATAGAGGGCTTCAAGAAGGACATTGCCGTCTAGCCAGTTTGTTTAACCATTAATAGATCAGGCAGTAAACACCAAGCTTGTATCCTGCTTCAGGAGGGATGACAACCCAGTGACGGCGAATTGAAGTCATCACCCGCCCAGGTATATATAACCACATAGCCAACAAATCTACTCCAATCAGCCAAACAACTACGACACAATCATCTTCATCAGAATCATCAAAATGCCTCCAATTCGCATTCCTATCCCTCGGTCGTTCAGACCTTACACCCGTAAGTGACAAAGTGATCACCTCATCGTCAACCAGCACTGACAGAAATTAGACGCCCGATTCCTCGCCACAAAACCATCTGGGAATCCCATCTCCAGCAACCCCCAGGCTCAATCTATCAACAAGTCCCGCGGGAGAGAGGCGGGCCACTCCGACGAAGCGGATACACGGTCGGTGCAATCCCCGGTCTCGATGCACAGGGCACAACCGTCGGAGGCGCACGAGAGCGAGGAGCAAACAAGTGCGGATGCAATGATCAAGAATGACCCCAACGAGCCGACAGAGAAGAAGAGGGAGAATGTGGAAAAGGTGGGGAGGAGGAAGATGGGGCCGGAGGATGAGCAGAGGTCACGTAGGCCTCGGGTTTAGCGATGTATACCTATTACCTTACTACGTACATCACTACATTAAGACCGTTGAATGCAGACAATTGATGATATGACGTTGGTAGTATATAAATGTAAATGAACATAATAATATTTCATAAGATGAAGCTGGTAGTTAATGCATGGAAGATGGATGACATCACACTTGCGTAGTCTACATCTTATCTTATTCTTGGCTTCTTTTTTTATCTGACAGGGACAGATCAGGATATTTTAAAGGCGAATCATGATACCTGCTTATTTTATTTTAGCTCCTGACACGTCGTAGATCTTATGCGCTGTTGATGCCATTTTCTACTTTACTACTACTACATCTACTGTCTGTAGATAAACACAACTGCAGAACTGCAACTCGACTCTCCTAAGAGCAAACAGCAAAATGGGGCCTCTATCAAGCTCTACATCCGACGATAAGCTTACCCTCAAGGATGCGGGAGGGAATAGTGTAAGCCTAAGCCTGAGCCTAAGTCCAAGTCTACTGTCTGCTGTCTATCAGAAACTAAGAAAAACAGGCCCTGGGATCTCGACCCTCGCAGCAAGACCAGTACACCATCCTCCTCCCCGCGCAGAACCCCTTCAAGACAGAAAAGACTCTCCTCTTTCTCGGAGTCTACGACGGCCAGTAAGTATCCACGCGATCATGAAATCGTCGTGGTAAATACTAATTCTGCAGCGTAACATCCGACGTCGCCCTCCACGCCAAACATCACCTTCACCGTCTCATCCTCGAATCCCCTGAAATCCGATCAGGCAACTATGAGAAAGCCATTGAGGACGCCGTCCAGAAGGAGGACAAACTCTTGCTCGATCAATTCAACGCAGGGAACGAGGTGTTTGGCAAATCGGGCTCAACCTTCTGCGTCTGCCTGGTGAATCTCACCGATGGGGTTCTAGTTGTGGGAAACCTAGGCGACTCGCACGTTCTGCTCGCCGAGCATTATCCCAAGGGCTGGGAGGTGGTGAGTTATCATTACTGTTTGGTCAGACGGCGCTAATGCTTTTGTAGAATCGCGTCACAAAAGCACATAAGCCGGGCTCCGAAGCTGAAAGAGAACGCATCAAAGAGGCTGGGGGAGTTGTGAATCGGGAGCTCGGATCCCCACGAATAGGTATTTCTTTCCCTCTCTCAGTGCCATTCAATTGCTAATGCGCCGGTACAGGCGCCCTGAATATGTCCCGCGCGCTCGGGGACCTCCAGTACAAAGCGCCGCTGATCAACGCGGAAGAGCCCTTCTCGCTTGAGCAGGAGATTGCCGGGTTCAACCCGGACAAGGAACAGGGGAATCTGCTATCTAACCGACCGGACATCTCACGGATTGAGCTCAAGGAGGACAGGAAGTACATCATTATTCTTACGACGGATGGGGTGACGGATGAAATGGAGGATCGGAGGATTCTTGATCGGGTCGTAGCGCATTGGAATTATGGCACGCAGGCCGAGGGCGTCGCGGGCAAGATCACGACGGAGGCGACGGGAAGGCCGATGAGCGATAATGCGACTTGTGTATGTGCTTTTATTTATGGGAGGCAGCATGATTCCTCTTAGCATGGCATAGCATATAACATAGCACAGCATAGCATAGCGTACGATGTGTTCAGCAACTCCCAGACTATGAGACATGGGAGACGAATATACCCAAGCTAATTATTGTACTTCTTGCCCTCTGGCTATCTATAAATAAACTCATTTCTGTCTATGATATGCGAGAATCATATGTTCAATTAATATCAGCTCCACTCTTCAGACTATAAAATGACATCACACCAGCCCCGTACAAACGTCACTCTATCTGATAAACAAGGTGTTTAGAAGCTATTCGATATGAGTGTAGCAAAAGATAATACAAAAGTCGTGATTGCCTGATCAATTCGCATGTGATTCTCCTAGTATAATACTTAACTGCGATCCATCGCCCTCACCCTCACCCTCACCATCGACATACTCAATTCAAATTCCTCCCTTTGAACGTCCTAACCACACAAAATGCCCAGCGTACCAGACCTCATCCCCCAGTCCGACCTCAATAACGACAAAATCCAAACAACAGCCCCAAACTGCCCCGTCACATCCCAACGCACCCCCGCAACATCCACCGCAACCTCCATTCCCAACCCCGGCATCGCCCGCGCCAATGCCGCCATCTCAATCGACAATCCCAATGGCGACGCAGACTACATCGCCAAATACGGCGACTACGTCCGTCCCTTCCCCCCTAACTCCATAGAAACAAACTGACCAGCTAGACCCCGTTACAACAACACGTCCTCTTCTGGGACCGCGACCACGACGGTCAGATCTACCCGCTAGACACATACAACGGCTTCCGCGAGCTGGGCTTCAACATCCTCTTCTCTCTGCTGGCGATGCTGATCATCAATTTGAATTTCTCGTATCCGACGCGGTTGGCGCATTCGGTTATTCCGGATTTGTGGTTCAGAGTTTATGCTGATAGTATATACAAAGCTAAGGTGAGTTTCTTTCCCTCCAGAGACCGGATGGAGCTGACGAGAGTGATGTAGCATGGTTCCGATAGCGGGACGTATGATCCTGAAGGACGGTTCATTCCGCAGCATTTCGAGGATATGTTTGCCAAGTATGATCGGGATCAAGACGGGACGTTGACCCTGGGGGAGTTGTTTGAGATGATGCATGGGAATCGGTGTGCGACGGATCCATTTGGCGTAAGACTTTTTCCTCTGTATTTGATTGAGAGAAGTTAAGCTAAGCTCTGGCAGTGGGGTGCTGCGTTCTTTGAATGGGGGACCACATGGCTGTTGATTCAGCGTGATGGACGGGTCTACAAGGAGGATTTGAGGGGGGTTTATGATGTATGTTACTTGACAAGGTGTGATGGTGATGATGCTAACATGCTACAGGGATCGATATTCTGGAAGATCCGTGAAGAGAGGAAGAAGGGGGGTTGGAAGCAGGGGTATGGTGTTGGAGGGGATGGGTTCGTGGGTGCGGTCAAGATGTACTGATATCTATGCATATATCCTGAGATCACAACATATGTACAAATGCATCATGCTACATGCTGCCCTCCTTCCTCTGAGCAAATTACTCCATTGGGGTGAGTTGGCATTTGGATTGTCCCTATTCTCATGGATCACACCCTGTCCCAGCAGTCCGGTCTTCTTGTCTTGACGTCGGCTGCAACCACCATTCGTACTGCAAGCTCATCTGGACGTCATGCTGCTAGGCAGACTTGACCACGCCTCCATTTGCGAGTACCTGCGAGCCGAGACCCGGCACCCGTGGGATCCCACACCCCAAAAGCAGGACATTTTCGACCCAGCAGACGAGAAGACCTTCGAGAGCCGCATCCTCCTCGAAGTGGTAACCAACTACGTCGTCAACCATGGCAGCAATCTAACCCACCATGATAGCGTGCCGCACCATCCACGCGGACACGCGATGGAGCTGACCCGCCCCCTGGAGCCTTCCTACGAACGCTACAGATACCTGACTGTCATGGCGGGCCCCAGCTTCAAAAATATCCAGCGCGTGCAGCAGATCCACGGGTCGTCCAACTACATGGCTGCGTACAAGTTCAATACCAGCGGAAGTATTGATTCTGCTCTGGTGCCTACCCTGGTGCCCGATGTCTGAAAGGACAACGATCGCCAGAAGGACAGGCCAGACGAGTTTACCCACGAGGATTACCTGTCGGTGGACATGACATATTTTTTGCGGGGGATCTACATCCCCAAGAAGCGCTATCACTGTCCGCGCTCGAACTGGCTCGTCTGCGTCTATACTCACGTCGACTTCCGGCGGAAGCACAGGCTAACGACATACACGTATACGCCCGAGCAAGACGGGATCCCGGATGGGGAATACACGCGCGAGGAACCCGATCTGCCGGACCGCGAGAAAGAACGGCAGAGACGTGAGCCGGATCAGTGGCCCGTTGGGTTCCGAATCGACACTCAGGAAATGGTCCAGGGCGAGCCGTCGCTCGGCTGGGGCGTGAAGCCTGAATGGACGGCTCGGTTCCAGATTGATGCGCTTCGTAATCTGCCGAATGAGGCTGATGCGCGGGAGTGCATCAAGCTTTTCGATAGCGGTGGGGCCTCTTTTGAACTTGCGAGGTTGAACGATTCCAGCTGATCCCATTCGGACAACGGTATCATCACGATGACTCATCTGTACCCAGGTAAAAAGTTAACTAGTTAGTTGACTAATTGCAGTGTCCCTACCCAAACAATGTCGGAATCCACGCCCGGATATGGATCACCTAGATTGCTGATTGTTTCGTGCCAGTCAGATTGCCCCCATAAATTGCCAGATAGGGCTTTATAGCAATTTAGACCTCTTTTGTGACTATCGGTTGAGCCATATGTCTACTGGGCCTTCGTTTCCAACAGGTAGTATGTACCTAGCAAGTAAGCACTGATAAGGAAAACATCTCTCCCCTCATTTTACCTCGTAGCGACATCTAAGTTTACCCTGCACTTTCCAGAGTCTTTGCTCCCCATATTTTGTCAAGGAAATCGGATGAAACCGGAAGGATGCCAGAATGGCTATTACCAGTGGAGACTCTTCCACTGATGCTCAGCCTTCGCTCAATGTATCCTCCCAATGCGGGAATCGTCCTTGCTAACATTTTCGTCGTGGACATCTTTGGTTCAGGGGAATCAGGCAGAAACCAAATTCGGCTTCCAAAAAGGGCCATATTTTGCGAGTCCACTCGGGTATTTGCGAGAAGGGCTGATGATAAAGAGACGCCCTCCCTACCCTGACGGATCTGCCTCGTATTCACCTCTTCTCCCACTCCTACATTCATCATGGCCCCTCCCGAAATCCATTCAACCTTCTCCGTCACTTCGGGCAGCCTCTGCTTCGGGGACCTCGCTGAAATCTGTAAAGGGGCATCCAACGCGATCCAACCATTTCCCAACGTGAGACCGAGGGTCGGTGGGACTGTCAAAGCCCATAAGATCGAGTACAATGTGGCGGCGGAGAACGGAAACTGGAATGTCTACCAGCTAATCGACCGGGAAAGAGGCGGCGTTTCAGGATGGTTTGTTTGCCATTCTACCACCGTCGACGACCCTGGCCGGGAAATGGACAAGATTCTCCGAGTCTCCGGCTCCCCCTACGAACCAGACAGTGGAAGCAAGATGAATAACGACAAAACAGCTGCTGAGGGGATCTTTGTCATTAACCGATACGATTGGATCTCCTCCAGCAGAAATTTCGATAGGGACGAAAATGATGCCCAGTCTCAAGAAGGTCCCTTTGACGCGAACATGTATGGAAGCGCAGCCGGCCTCATCGACCACGGCCAGGCCATATCCCAAGTGGACGCATGGCGAGCACAGAACCCTCGACCAGCCAAAGAGGCCATCATCGCCGACAGCGGAATCTGGATGATTATACCACACGACGAATACCATTACGGTCGCTTTGGGTTTAATGACGACCGCACCGCGGCTCGGTCTTTCCTCTTCTTCGCAACGAACACATATTTCACTCAGACATCCTTCCGCGGCGAAGATCAGGAAACATTCCGTAAGAAAGAGTCCCACGAAGAAAGATTCGCCCGACGTCTCCGTGAGGGATACGACTTTTCTGGGCTCGAAGAGTTGAACGAGCGATGTGGTCCTCTTACTCAGGAGGAAGAGAATGCAGGGATTTTGCGCTTGTATCCTTTGCGACCTCCCGAGGAGAAGTGGTTGGGTCCATATGACAAAACAGAACACCTGTTTTCCCCCGAGGAGTTTGTCTTTCTGCTCCATCAAGGGCCGATTTTGCATGACCCATCATCGTTCAGCGCGTGTGTGGAAATAGATCGACCCGGAAGGGGATTGAGGTTTGTCGAGCAATTGAAGGAGCAGGTCTGTGACCTTATCAATGAGATGACTCTGAGTTATCTGGAGAGTGTTGTATTGGGTGTTTTGCGCTCCCAGATGACTCTGCCAACGGGGTTAGTGTCATCACCCGCAACTGCAGCTACGTCGTTCGCAGCTGCTCTGTTTCCCCGTCACCAGGATCAAGATCGCGGGAGAACAGGTGATTTTATGCTGTACGAATACTTTCTGAATGCGCTTCCTATGAAGGGGTTTGAGACTGCTGGCGTGGCGGAAAAGATAGAGACGTTTTTCAATTCAAGGCTAGGGGAGGATGAAATCAAGGTAGGAGAAAGGGAAAAGGAGATAATGGAGAAGTTATCTTGTGTGATGGTTCTTCTGGTAATGCTCTTGCTGGATGGCTCCGCTTTGTGTGCTCGGGACTGTAACAGAGATGCAATCGTGCCATGGGATGTGCGGGTAATAGTGTCCGTGGGCGATCTTTGGATGTTCGAAATGTTCCAGTACTCGAGGGTGTTCTGGAAAGGGCAATCCAGTTAGATATGCGTATGATCAGACTTTTCTTTCCCGTTCTGAGATATCTACATTTGAACGGAAGACAGAGCATACCCCCTGTTCCCGAATCGGAAGATGTAGTAATCCTGCGTAAGGGGCAACGACGTCGCAGGAGCCACGTCGAACACTTCACCGTCGGCCTTGACTGTCGGCAAAACCAAGCCTCGTTAGAGAATGTGATAAATGTGTGGGTGGTCAGTCATGAACATGCTAGACTTACAAAGGTCTCCGGGTCAACCTCCATCTTGGGCATCTCGCTATTGTACTTCATGTGCTTTTTGCTTAGGGGCACAGGGTCCGGTTTGGGAGTCGGCTGTATCTGCTTTGTGTCTACCGTTCGGCAGTGCTTGACGGCCTCGATAGTCTTTTTCAGGCCGTATTCGTTCTTGACCTTCTCTTTGGAGGCCTGCGAGACGAACATGATTGACGTCCGCGGTACGTGGGGCTACAAGCTTCAGCGCACAAGCAGTGGTATCAACTGACAGGAATGGCTTACCGCGAACTGCGGCCGCATCATCATGGGCTCAATGGTCGGAATTGATCCGTTCGGGTCGCCCTAGAGAGTGTCAGAGACTCGCAGTTGCACTTGTAACAAAGAGCTTACTCCTAGAGAGACCGTAATCATTCCACTCTTCAACACCTGCAGCGGCTTGGTCCCAAAGCTGATCCGAAGACGGGAACGGATCGAACGGCGGCACAGGCAGACCGCTACCGTACAGCGCCTTTGCCAAATCCCCCTCTTCACCGGCGATAGGGTGCTGCACCGTGACGAGGTACGTGCCTGTTGGGAATGTCCCTTCTACTTGTAGCTGGCGGAGCGTGAACCACACAGAAGGGAGGACATGTCGCCCGCCCAGGACGGACCGGCCCAGGGCCATGAGATCCGCCACTGCATAGTGTCCGTCGCAGATGAGCTATATCACGGTCAATTCAGGTCTGTAACAAAGCTAGCTGGGTGGTCTTGCCTCGTGGAGAACAGAGAAGATCAGCGCCTATGGTCAGCAGTCATTAGCGAAACGATCTAACATAACGGGGCAGCAAGGGTTACGTACAGCAGCTTCAGCGTTGTTGAGTCGGATACCGCGTGATAGACGGCGTTGAGCCAGATGTCCGAGATGAGAGATGGTAAGCTTATCCAACTAGTAGCGAGAGCTCTGTCAGCCCAGGTCCAGTCTTGACAGCAAGCAGGAGCGAATCTACGGAGAGTTATGTATATACTCCGTACCTCCCTGGGAATCAAATGCATCCTCGACACCTGGCAAAGCATCCTACCAATGGCATCTACAGGAAAGACATGGCAAGCTTTGCTTTTTGCTTAACATTATGCTTGGTGTCTAGCAGCGGGGTATTTCAAATCTTGTAAGAAACTCTGATGGTTCTTCTTCGTATTTATATTGTATTTTACAAATCTCAGAAGGAGTAGAGTATTTGCAACACTTGGTAAGATAACGATGGACTGGCCCGAGAGAATTCGGCAGCCGATTCCACCAATCTCCTAGCAGCAGATATGGCTGTGCAGGCTTCTCCCCTCTGGTGGCTAGTATTTCTACCATGTTAGTGTGGCTTGAGGCGATTCCCAGATTAAGATAAATAGGTAGACAGACCACTGTTAGAGCATCGCCATGACGTAGATTCTTGGCAATCAGATAAGGTCGATATATCCGACATAGGATTGCACAGCAGTAGAAAGGGTAATAGACGTGATTTCACAATGACATTCATTCTGCAGACTCGTTACAGTTCATGATTCAGGTTACTTTCGGGTCAGCCTTGTTTTCGGTTGCGGTCCGGATAGAGAAACTAACCTCCGCGTCCGCGTCCGTGGCTTCCCCAAAGCCGGTTGTACCAGATCCGATCAAGACGTTCCCTGTTAATGCAAGGAAATACATGGAGTTTCTTGGTATACTGCAATTTGTGCCTCCTAGTTTAGTGATTTCCTTCAGCCTTAAGACTATTTTTGGATGTATTGCCGTCCTGGCAATCAATAAATAAGCTCATCTATTGAGAATGGCGTGCATTCGGCACTGCATATCCCGGCACCTCTCTAAAGCCAGAAGTCAACGGCCCAGTTCTGCAGACGCTGTAGCTCTGGCATCCGTCATCATGCAGTACTGACAGCAGGTTTAATAGCCATGACCCACTTGGTCTGTTCTTTCCAAGCTGGAGTCAGTACTGATTGATAAGTCCACAGGGCTAGATCCATAGTCGTATGTAGCATGAAAATGCTGCTACCAGTTCGAGACCGGATGGCTATAAAAGCAGTCAAGTGCCCGGTAAACGTGAACTGTGAACCGTGATCCAACAGACTCCCAACATCAAGATGAAGTCCCTCATCTGGATACTTGCCGGCTCTGCCGTAGCCGTGCCCCTTGCGTCCGACTTAGGAACAAAGGCTATTGACATCCCCGCCATCGAGACTCAACCGCCCCGTGGTAATCAATCCGGTGCGGCCCCTCCGCTGGTCAACAGTGCCACGAATGGCGTCACCACTCATGGACCCTACTCGGGCACCCCGACCACCACCGGCGCTGAGCAGTATCCCTCCACGGTGGCGGCGACCATCCCCATTCAGCCCAATCCGACCGCCACGTACTACAATCCCAATGGCAAGCTGACCGAGCCCATGCCCATGCCATACATGCCCGCCGGCGGTGTGGGAACTAACGGCACAGTGCCCGTGTACATGGTGCAGAGCGACTACGACTACCAGTCCGTCGCCCTGGGCGTGCACCAGGAATACATCGAGCTGGACCTTTTCCACTATGGTCTTGAAGTCTTCAGCGAGCAGGACTTTCTTGATGTTGGTCTCACTGTCGAGGACCGCCGCCTGATCGAATATATGGCCATCCAGGAGGCCGGCCACGCCACCCTGCTGAGCAACATGCTGGGCGCGTCCGCTCCACGACAATGCACGTACAACTATCCTTTCAAGACGGTCCGCGAGTTCATCGACTTCAACGTCAAGCTCACTCGCTGGGGTGAATCCGGCACCTGGGGCTGGCTGAGCCATCTCAACTCCAAGGAGGTCGCGACCATGGTCGTCGAAGCGGAAGCCATTGAGGCCCGGCAGCAGGCCATCTTCCGCCAGCTTCTAGGCCTCCAACCCATGCCCGTGTGGTTCGCTGCCGGAATCCCGCAATCCTGGCACTGGACCTTGCTGGCCCAGTATATTTCTTCCTGCCCGGAGAACAACACTCGGCTGGTCTGGCAGAATTTCCCCAACTTGTACGTGGTCAACCAAGCCAACCCCAACCGCATCAACCCCAATGCTACCGCGGCATGGGAAGTCGTCGGCAACCGCACTGGTGATCCCAGCAACTCGACAATCCCAGAGGCCCAGTCCTGCATCCACAACAATGTCACGGGCTACAATTGCGGCCCCGCCATTAGTCGCGACAAGTATGATCCACTCACATTCCCCGGACGCAAAGTCGAGCTCACCTGGGATGAGCCAGGTCGTGCTGTGGGGCCGAACAACAGCTACGTCACCTCAACGACGGCGGGTCAGCCCTCGTTCGTGGCCTGGTTGTCGCAGTTAAACTTGACCTATACCGAGTTGACTGTAACCGGACAGAATAAGGGATATACCTATCAGCCGGCGAGTGAGGTTTTTGAGACGGATCTAGCCCTGAACGGCACAGCTTTTATTGCCATCACCGATACGAATATGTTTGTCACGCCGTACAACCTGACCATGTTGAATCCGCATATCCGTGCTTTGGGATTGTACCAGGCTGGTTGATAAAAATTGTTGCAGTCGATAGAAGTTTAATATCAGTCGTATAGAGTTTCACGTTGATCAGATGAGTAGCCAGTCCTCCCCTAATTGTCCTATATCAAGTATCCAATTTGAGAGTTTGTTCTCGTTGCTGTTCTGAGTCTGCCAGTATGACTGCAAGATCTTCCCAGCGTTGACCGTGTTCAAACACCGGGTGACCGCCCAGAACCTCTCCAAAGCTCGCGTGACAAAGTCTCGTTCGATCGAGGATCGACACTCAAGACCAGCAACAAAAATGGGCCACAGGATGCACTTGAACAATGTGGCGTCCTCGTTGAGTGCTTCGATGGTGGCAAAGAGGTTTTTGACCAACTCTTCTTGGGAGGTGACTTGATCAAGAACCATATCTAGGACTCGCTGACCGTAGATAAGAGCACCAAGCTTGTAGCACTGGGCAAGAGTCGCTAGATTGCGGGTAGCATGTCTTGTGGATTGAGGGAGATTTGCAGCCCAGAAATGGCTATCAAAGCTGCGGACGGATTCCACCATGAAAGAAATGTTGCGAATACAAGCGTCTGACCCTTGTCCGGCACTAGCAAGATCTCGTTGGAGAGAGAAGAACTGAACAGCGTTGAGAAGCTGCTCCGGACAGCCGAGAAATGACTGTTCGACGGTATCTGGGCCCATATCTACTTCGTTCGCAGGAGGAAATTGTGATAGTAGATTCGGCCGTACAAACGTCGCACCCAGCGTCTCGATTCTAGTTTGCATGAGTATCTGGACAGTTTTTGAGTCAGGAGGTACATACAGGTAAATCTGCTTGGTGATAAAGCTCCGTATTTCCTGCACTGTCCAGCCGGGATCGTTGACTTGTGACAACGACTTGCTCAAGGACAATAGAGCCTTTGCGCCTTCCAAATGGACATTCCACCGATCGTTTCCGGACTCTACCAGATCAAGGAAGATGAGGAGGAAAATGCTCGCAACAGTTGAATCTGTTCTGCAAGAGCCGGGATCACCGATGATTTGCGACAAGCCTTGTATTGCCTGGTGCTTAAACACAAGTGCATCTTGTTGGGCATTATCCATCCATTGGACTGGTGCTTTGATGCCATTAAAAGTCTGACCTTCATTCGCTCTGTGCCTTGCTGCGAGAGCAAGAACCGCACTGAGCAGGAGTGGATCCTTTACAGCAAGTGAGATCAGACTTCGGAACGGGTTGTGGTTACTGTCATAGACAATGAAGAGCTTGCATATACGATCATTATCTTCTCATCGTTAGCTTAGTATTTTGACCAGCTGGTTCACTTACAATAGTCGAGATAATATTTCGACACTCGGTCCAAGCTCGAAACGGATACGTCCCCTAAGCCGGCAGGCAAATCCCGTTGACCTAAAATAGTAAGACACCGTGCAATAGGAAGTAGTAACAGAGCTTACCTTCACGTCTTAGCTTGATCAGGCCCTGCTCATCCCCTGCAGGACTATCTAAGCTACTATACGACACACCCTGCATCTTGCCTCGGATGGCGACACCTTTGACCCATCTGATGGGGCGTTTCTGGTGACATTCGAATCCAGCCTTTCTGCATTTTCTGCAGGGAATACTGGTTTTGTCGCATTGTATTCGCCGATACCGGCAGGTGTAACATGCTTCAACCATTGGACTTTCAACCATCGTAGACGTGATACATCAGCTGCGCATTTAGCAAATGGATTTATCTTCACGGCATGAAGATATCGGAGCTCAGATCAGATATATATATCTAGCAAATGAATGATGGGAAATTTAAGACATGCAGAGTATGGACGATGGTTTCATGGATTTGCAAGACGGCGGACGCATGTGCCAAGATGACGAGGGGTCTGGAACTATCACGTGCTTATCTACGATATTATCTACACGCATTTCCTAATCGGGAAACTCACTTCAAGTCATCGCCAACGTCAAATACTCTACTCTATATAAAAAGAGCTCACTTCTTATCCTTCAATTCTCCCCTCTCCTTCACCGTCTTCGCTATGCCCATCCCAACCTCCGTCCCCAGCTTCTCAAACCCCTCAATCACCCCCTCCCGATCCCCCTTCCCCATCTCCTGACTCATCTTAAACTTCCCTTGCAGCCGCTCAATCCTCACCTCCACCCCGATAATATTCTTCTTGAGAAGCTCCACATATGTCTCCGGCGCATCGCTCACCTCCCATGGCCCCGGCCTCTCACCCCCAGTGTACCGCATAATCGAAGTCTCCGCATGCCGCGATAAATCATTCACCTGGCGGGTCAGAAACGCGCCCGTCTCCTCGGCCTTGGAGTCGCAGTACACGGTGATCTTGCCGTAGGCCTGCACGGCGGAGTAGTTCCAGGTAGGTACAACTTTGCCCGTGGCGGGTTTTGTGTCTTTGTAGAATTTGGGGGTGACGTAGTGGTGGTGTGGGCCGTTGAAGAGGATGAGGACCTCGTCGGGAAGTTCGAGGGTCGTGGACTGGGTTTGTGCTTGGTGCTGGGCCAGAGCTTCCATCAGGGCTTTTGCTTGTGGATTTTGCTTGGCGATGTGTCCGCGGAGAGTCCCGGGGACGGGATCGGAATCGGCATTGTCGGTGGGGGAGTCTGGGATATCGAGAACGAAGGGGATGTGGCTGGATTGGAGGAGGGGATAGTTGGGGGATTTGATGGCGGTTGTGAGGATTCCGAGCGGATTGTCGCGGATGAACTGTTGGAGGAGGGGGATGTGTGTTTCGGCGTGGACGGCGCGGAGATACATTGTGGTCTGGCTGGCGTCTTTGAAGGTCAGATGGTTATTGTTCTTCGTTGCAGGTGACGGGGTTATATATCCTCGATTGTCTGATCAGTAGAGCAGAGTCATGGTCGGGGTACCTCTGGTATTCAATTGGCCCGTTACGCCGAGTCAGATCATGTCGGCACAGGGCGCACGCCCTCGGAACTGCTAAGAGTCATAACTGTCACGGCAGAGAGACATTACGAAGCACAGAACGGCCGATTTAGAGGGTGGAATTTCTGTACCATGATTGGTCAAACTAGATTCACCTCGGAGAAGCCGGTGGCCAATAGAAACATGGATCCGTGGACTATTCCCTTTCCAGCAGTTGACAGTAGTGGGGCATTTCCTATAGCCAATAGATTTTCAGTGTCTGTGCTTTACTACAATTGATCGTTGAAAATCGTCACCACTTCCATTTTAGGAAATTCTGGGGAGTGGAGCCTTGCTGGTTGCCACTACTATCAAATGTGCTCTGCACAGAGTATCTTATAAATATGAGTAAAAAACCGCATTCTTTATCAACTTGTGCTTAATTTTCTTACCATACTCACACCAGCAAAATGCCTCTTTCACAAGACAGCCACCCTGCCACTAAGGCACTGCATGCCGACAATCGGCTCAACATGGTGACAGACGTAGCACCTCCAATCCATCTATCGACCACATTTCGATACTCCAATGACCCTGACCAATTGATTCCGTCCGAGGATCCCATCGTAAGCGCCCCCGAAAACCCCACTACGGCATTCAACTAACATTCCCAGGCCGAATTCGACGGCAAGAACTACGTCTACTCGCGAGAGTTTGCCCCCAACGCAACCCGCTTCGAGGCAATTCTCTCCACCTTGCTTGGTAGCCACGCTGTCAGCTATGCCACCGGCTTAGCCGCACTACACGCAGCCCTAGTCCTGCTGAACCCCCGGCGCATCTCCGTCGGTGAAGGCTACCACGGCAGCCACGAAGTCATCGGTGTTCTCACCCGGCTCACAGGGCTCAAGAAGCTCCCCCTGGACTGTCCTGCCAAAGACCTCGACCAAGGCGATGTGATCCTCCTTGAGACGCCGGTCAACCCACTCGGCACTGCATTCAGCATCGAAGCGTACGCGCAAAAGGCTCACTCCCGGGGAGCCTACCTCATTGTCGACAGCACCTTTGCTCCGCCGGGCTTGCAGGATCCCTTCCTCTGGGGTGCGGATATCGTGCTGCACTCAGGCTCTAAGTATTTCGGCGGCCATAGCGATATGCTCTGCGGTGTGCTGGGCGTCAAGCGTGCAGAGTGGCATCGTCAGCTGCTAGAGGATAGGGTAGCGCTTGGCCATGTCATGGGGAACCTGGAGAGTTGGCTTGGGGTACGTAGTCTGCGGACGCTGGAGGTTAGGGTGCAGAGAGCGAGCCAGAACTCGACAAAGTTGATTTCTTGGCTGAACGGCGCGTTGACGGCGGCGTCGCCGGCGCCGGAGAGCGAGGAGGAGATCGTGCAAAGGGTGCTGGTGAAGATCTACCATTCCAGTTTGCAGGACGAGGAGTGGTTGAAGAGGCAGATGCCCAATGGGTTCGGGCCTGTGTTTGCGATTGTCATGAGGGATGAGAAGTTTGCGAAGACATTGCCAAGCAAGCTTGCTTTGTTCCAGCATGCGACAAGTTTGGGCGGTGTTGAGTCGTTGATCGAGTGGCGGGCGTTGTCGGATTCCAGAGTTGATCGGAAATTGCTGAGGATCAGTGTTGGGTTGGAGGATTGGCAGGACCTGAAGACGGACTTGTTGTTTGCTTTCAAGGCTCTTCTTGAGATTTAGCTGGTTGAGTAAATTCATTGATTTGTTGTTATGGGCTTTCCTTATTCAGTATTGATAGACTCCATTCACCCACTGAGTCAGTCCCACTTGAGAATCTGCGTTGTTACAAAGAACTTCATTCATTGTTTGAAACAAAGATTTACAAATGGGTCCTCCTTTGTGCGAGCCTTATTAGCCTCAATCTATATTACTAGCTGTGTCCCTGAAATACGAACAGTAAGCTCTGCATCCCGAATGAAGTACCCCACACACATCATCGACCCCAACGGGGATGTGATTATTAGACTCCTCAACCCAAATGCTCCATTTGCTGTATCTGAAGAATGGGACTATGGAGAGGACGACGTATTGCCCTCGTGGTTTGGATCAAGACAGTGGAATCCGATAAACAACGAACAAGCGGTTGACTCGCTCATCGATCTCACAGTCGTCGACCAGGACGACCAGAATAAACCACCCAAGCCCACAGCATCAGAATCTCACGTCTCGCTATTGGCGGCAAGCGGCCTAAAGAGAGTGCCTACTCGACGAGCACGGAGACTGAGCGAAGGCCGTCTCCTGAATGAATATTCACGTATGTCATACTTCCCTGGACACGAATGCATGCTAAATGCTCAGGCAAACCCGCATTCAACGAGGAATACACCTACCAAGTCTCATCGCAACATCTCATACCCGCATCTCCATTCTTCCGCTCAGCACTGACGAAAGGGTGGAAGGAGACCCACACCCTAGGCACACACGGCTCTGTCACATTCACAGTCTACGACTGGGATAATCAGGTGTTGTTGATTTTCCTAAACGTTATACACGGACAACACCGCGATTTGCCCTGGAAAGTAGGGTTAGAGCTCTTGGCGAAGATTACCGTCATCGCCGACTATTATCAGTGTATAGACGCCATTCTGTTCATGGCGCTGTCTTGGTATGCTTTTTTGAAGCCCACATGCTCCGCTCTTGTCCGGACCAGGGATATTGTCTTGTGGTTGTGGGTTTCATGGGTGTTGCGTCTTCCAGAGCAGTTTCGGAAGGTTGGCGCAATAGCTATGGAGCAATTGGATCAGCGGATGGATTCGTTAGGATTGCCCATTCCAAGGAGGATTCTAGGTGAGTTTTGTGGAATCGTTTCCTCTGCGATAGCTGATGGAATCAGACGCCATCAACCATCAAGAAGGGTTTCTTAGTGGCCATGACGAGGGAAATCGCCTGCTTTTTTGGTGGCTTTACCGGGGTTGGACGTGGTTGATAGACCAGGCTGTGACTAAGTACAGAAACCATGGAAATCTTTGCACATGTTTGTACAAACTTCTATATCTGGCTAGCAGAAGAAGCTCAGATAGTAAACGGCAGAAGAGTACTTATTTATCAATTGATGATCGACCATCTCTTCCCCTCTCTGCAATGACACGGTAGTATCATGCATGCTGCATACCATGACCAAACATCCTCCCCTTGCAGATCGATGCGGGGAATCCTCATCAGGCCATATAAGCCCCCGATACTCGCAAATAATTGACTATCTTTCATGGCCAGCGTAGACATATCACCATGTACACAGCCAAATCCCTCCTATCCACCCTAATACCAATAATGATCCCCCTCTCCCTGGGGTCAGTCTCCTCCCCAAATCTCCTCCCAACTCCCCCAATGGGCTTCAACAACTGGGCCCGCTTCATGTGCGATCTCAACGAGACGCTCTTCCTCGAAACAGCCTCCGCAATGATCTCAACCGGCCTTCTGGCCGCAGGATACGACCGCCTAAACCTAGACGACTGCTGGATGGCCTACGACCGCGCCCCGGACTCCTCCCTCCAATGGAACACGACCAAATTCCCCCACGGCATCCCCTGGCTCGCCCACCACGTCAAAGCCCAAGGCTTCCATCTAGGCATCTATCAAGATGCAGGAAACCTCACCTGCGGCGGGTACCCCGGCTCCTTCGGGCACGAGGAGCTCGACGCCCAAACTTTTGCGGCCTGGGGAATCGATTACCTAAAGCTAGACGGGTGCAATGTCTTCCCGCAGCACTCTCGCACCTTGGAAGAAGAGTACCAGGCCCGCTACGCACACTGGCACGCCGTCCTGCAGCAGATGCACCCCCCGCTCATCTTCTCCGAAAGCGCCCCGGCGTACTTTGCCGACTCCGCCAATTTGACCGCCTGGTACGAGGTTATGGATTGGGTCCCTGCCTTTGGGGAGCTGGCGCGCCACTCGACGGATATCCTCGTTTATGCCGGGCAGGGCAGCGCCTGGGATAGTATCATGGTGAATTATCACTATAACACGCTGCTGGCGCGGTACCAGCGGCCCGGGTACTTTAATGATCCGGACTTTTTGATACCGGATCACCCTGGGTTAACGCTTGAGGAGAAACGCTCGCACTTTGCGCTATGGGCGTCGTTTTCGGCGCCGTTGATTGTTAGTGCGTATATTCCGGGGCTTTCGGAAGAGGAGTTGGCCATCCTGAGGAACGCGGAGTTGATCAGGGTTGATCAGGATGCGCTGGGTTTGCAGGCGACGTTGGCGAGTAGGGGGGAGGAGGTTGATGTTTTGACGAGGAGTTTGGAGGGTGGGGATCGCTTGCTTACGGTGCTGAATCGGGGGGGTGGGGTGGCGACGGTTAAGGTGCCGGTTGAGTGGATGGGCTTGCAGAGGGGGTGTGCGTATGCGGCTAAGAGTCTTTGGGACGGGAAAGTGCAGGTACTGGAGGAGCAGATGGTGGTCAGGCTGAACTCGCATGCTACGCAGGTGTACAGGATCGCTTTGCCGGAGGAGTGCTCTCCGATCATTCCTACTGGGATTGTGTTCAATACGGCGTCAGGGAACTGTCTCACGGATGGGGACGGAAGCAAGGTCGGGTTCGAGGCTTGCAAAGGATCGAAGACGCAGATTTGGCAGGTGACTGAGCTGGGAAGTCTACGCCCACTGTCAAGAACGTCGCATTGCTTGACTGCAAGCAGCCATCTTGGTGTCCAGTTGTGCACTGGACACCAAGACCAGAAGTGGACTTATGAGATAACCGGGAACCTCAAGAATGAACACACAAATATGTGTTTGACGGAGGGGAGAGGAATATCTGAATGTGGGTTTGAACGAAATAGCCAGGTATTCGGTCTGCCAAGTGGTGTAGACATCAAGTCCAGTTAGACAGACCTCAATAAGTTGCAGATAGTAACCGCTCGTGTTGGCAATTTCCTAATTGTATGGAATATTCTAAGATAGAATCCCTTTCATTGCCACCCCTGCCATGAACTGTACAGATGTGCTCATCTTATATTTTGAAAGGATGAGAAGTCTTCGACAAGTCGTTGGCAAAGAACCACAGATCCACAAAATTGATGAAAACCCAGAAAAGAGAAGTACTATGCTTGTGCAGATTCATAACTTTTCGTCGGGTCAAAGGTCGGCCGTTGTCGGAAGAGATTGAGGAGAGGAATGAACAGCCTGGGTTGGTCGTCGCTGGTCTCCATTCCTTCAGCCTGTACCTGCTTGTCGAACCATGATCGAACATCTTCCCAGCTTATCCACCGCCATTCGTCACACTTCTCGGGCTCCAGTATCTGAGGCCACGAATTAGTAGGGAGGCATCATGGATAGGAGGGGGTTCCAACTGACTTGGGGCTGTGCGTTATCTTCCTTGACCATAGCACCGACATAAACAGTAATATAGTGTTTTCCTTCGGCTTCCATGACATCGTTTGTAGCAGTCAGAAAACGTACATCGTGAATTGAGAGGCCAGTCTCTTCGAGCACTTCCCGTACTGCGCAGGCTTCGAAAGATTCGCCGAATTCGAGATGGCCGCCAGGGAATGCCCAAGTGCCTAGTCTACCATCAGAATCCACTCAAGAGACAGGAAGAATGAAAGACAGAAATACCGGCACCGTGGCTTCCCTTCCTCTTGCCCAGGATGACCTTCCCTTCCCTGTTCAGGACGACGACTCCGACCCCTACTCTTGGATTCATTATGAACAATCCACAGCAAAAATCGGTGGATTGAAACTTGATGGTAATTCAAGCGCAGGTGCGCCTTTTATGTGGAATATCTGTAGCACAGCCTTCTGGTGAGTCATGCAAATCACGCCAGGAGGCAGTGCTCACCTAATTCTCTGCAGCGGTTGAGACAATTCAAATTCTAACACGGGTGTTTATGAATGTTTAAGCTCCTTAGTTATTGCTCAATAAGCTCAGCCTTTGTCGATGTTGGAGTTGGTAGATGCGTGTGTTGTTGACGACCTTTGTGAAGACACTTTCCCGTTTGGGAAATCAGTGCATACAAATCAAACACCTCCAGCTCGTCTCCATAACAAAGCATCTCCATCGACCATCATCTCCTCGTCTTCTAATCTCAAGCCTTCATCTCATGCATCGCCATCATGACCATTTGGAATGAGTCTGGCCCGACAAATTGCTATACCAATCAGCAAGCTGAGAATTCGTTATCACTTGCCCGGCCTGCCGTCGGACATCCCCCGCTCCTCCCCCTATCAAGCAAGGAACTACATTCCTTATCAAAGCGCCCTGATAACTAGTAATGTTAGACTGGACCTTAGAGATATTCTCCGTACATGGAGCTTCATTATCATATGTCCTGTCTGCAGCTGGTGTCCTGAAATGACAAGCGCAATAAATCTGGAAGAAATGCGGCCGGATTCTCTTCGCTCATCAGTGGCGATGGTATCACTTGGAGAATGAAGCGCCATGCGACTCTGATTTGCATGTCCTTAGCATGTGTCCTGCCGCCCCATGGGCCGTGCCAATCGAAATGCAACATGGCTTATCTTCGTGACCCCGCATTGCTGTTAAGTCTGGCTGGAATCAGATGGGCAGGTCAAGCTTTGTGGACAAGTCTTAAAAAGAGAGGGGATTCAAGAAACAAAATTACGCTCCGTTTATCTTTGCATCGTCATCAATTGGCGGGTCCTGACAAACATTTCGCATGCTGCCAGGAATCATCAACGCCACCATGGCATCTAAGGAGCAAGCTCAAGATCATATTGTCAAGACATCTCTCGCCGGAGACCATCCAGAGGTGGAAATCGGCCGCCTGGATGAACTTGAAGTTGATCTTGACTCGGCCTTCAAAGAGAACCAGGAGTATGACTATGAATCGGAACACTCTCCCTTTGCGGAAGGTCTGTTGTTGTGAGCGCTATGAATACTAGATTCTCTACTCATTCCAAAGTTGTATAGTCCGAGCAGTGGTTCCTGAAACTGACGATCCACACATGCCTGTCAATACGCTCCGGATGTGGATGCTCGGCGTCGTCTTCACCATTTTGGGTTCTGGGATCAATCAATTCTTCTCCCTCCGTTACCCTTCTGTACACATCGTCTCGCTTGTTGCGGAGCTGCTTGCCTATCCATGTGGCGTCTTCCTCGCCAAATTACTACCCGTAATGACGATTAATTGCGGACGGTTGGGCTCTTTCTGCGTAAATCCAGATCACCATTTCAATATCAAGGAACATGCCATCATCGTGATTATGAGTAATGTCTCTTTCGGATACGGCAGTGCCGACGCAACCAACATCATTCAAGCCTCTAGCTCTAACTTCTACAACTTTGGTCTCAAAGCGGGCTTCTCGGTGCTTGTTGTGATCTGCGCGCAGCTCTTAGGCTTCGGCATCGCTGGTTTAGCTGCCCCATGGCTCGTGGAGCCCGCGAGCATTATCTGGCCAGCTGTCCTATCGAACTGTGCAATGCT